TTTTTTTTTTTTTTTTTTTTTTGAAAATTTGACACTTCAGTGATATTATTGAAAAAATATTCTTTTTTTCCCCTTCGTAGAGGCTTCGTATTTGAGTGTTTGGATGTCATCGCTGTCTTCGCTCTGCAGTCTCACGACGGTTTAGTGTTACTCCATCTCCGTGTCACGGTAGCTGTCTTGTCAAAGGTGTTATGAAAACGAAGTCACTTCTGTTTTCGGGCCTTGGAATTTTGCTAATGCTGTGTCCAGACACTGAATATATTGCTACTATTTTGCAAGTATAAGATACAAGTTACAAAAGTAGATTTGTAGCTTCATGTGCGTGACATAAAAGTTGCTCAAAGTCATTACCGCTAAAGGGTCATTCAGAATCAGTTCAATCCAGCATGGAGTTGAGGTTACTTCTTTACGAGGGTAGTTTGCACCCCATCCTTTAACGAAAGAGAGGCGTATGAAGCACATCGCTGTCAATTTATAAGCACTGCAAAATGGGTCGCCGTCTTTGCCATCGTCATGAGTAACCAGTGGAGACGTTTTTGCACTTGTAGAACTTTCCATTTCCGCTCTTTCGATCAACTATAAAAACTTACCAGTAATTTGAAATTTGGGACTCAATTAAAATTGAGGAGAGACCAGCTTCATCAGGAATTTCTTCTGCTGGTTACCTTTAAAAATGACTGGAAGTCAAAAATTTTCATTGAGTGTCCTGGAGGCAGTCGCATAACTGTGGTTGCTGGAGATTTCAAGATGTAGTTAGCGTTTTGTGACTGGACGAATATTGGTGCTGCAGAAACGTTCCTCAAACAAACATCGCGTGAATTGTCGTCACGCTCGATGCTCATCCCTAGAAATCTATTGCTTCGAAGAGACCACTATACTAGAACTCTTGACAATTTTTGGTTTAACAGGTAGTTGTCTGGGTAGCGTATAATCAAAAAACCACGAGAGGAGGGAAAAATTGAGGCAGATAAAAGAAGCAGAACCTTTCCCAATATGTTTTCTTGTGTTTTGCACAGTTTCGTTTTTATGCAGACTAAGAAGACTTCCTATACAAATGCGATCCTCAGTGGATGGAGCAAAATATCCGTCAATTACTATTCGATCTTTTTTGAACTGAAACTTATTGGCTGATTAGACTGGTAAATATCTTTGTGAGAAAATTAATAGTGTACACTACAAAGTTTTTTCTTTGATTCATAAAAAACTACTTTAAATGGGCCTCCAATAATGTCATTCAGTTCGTAATAGGTAATAGAGCCCCACGCAGGAGGTTCAGCGTAAGAATACCTTCCATCATCCATCATCTGCTCGTCATCACTCAAGATAGATACAGACGGACTGGCTGTAGATATTATTTTTATATATTACTGCTGGCTAACTTAGGCAAAAAGATCCTAGTATACTGTAACTTCTCATGAACTGAGATCCTGTTAAAGACAGTAAATTAAACAAGATGCCTTAACGGACCGGAATAACATGGAACATCCAATTCTGGGCTTCTAGGCATTACAGATACCATATCGCTGGGGTGCGGAGAGCCATACTGGAGAAGAATATTTCATTAATGTAAAGCAGTACGTTTATGCAGGATAGTTTGTTCCAAGTTTTCTTATTTGTTATTGAGTTAAAAATAGTGATGTATCCTGTATTACAGCTTTTAATTCATTTACTTTGAAAATATTAGTAAATACTAACCACTGGTGAGATACTCATTGCTGAAGAACCAGGAGATATGGACGGATAACGGCTTGCTAACGGCATTGTCGACGGGGCTGGCTAAAAAACTATCCTCAGTTATCCGTCAAAAACTTCAAGGTAGAATCTTAGCATACCAATAACTAGCAACCTGGCTTCGTCTAACCTGAGACTCAATCCGCTGATAATGATATGGATTTATGCATATAGGTTGTTGTTTGGAGCTATTTTCATACGGAAACATGCATTCTGGTATTGATTTCAATTCATGATGTGACTGCAGATTAGGCCATCTCCACACACGGCAGTAAATCACGTGTGGTAATCCTTTCCGATGTGAAACCTAATAAAAAAATTTTGGTATGTAAATAAAAGAAGCCTTTAACTGGTCAAAGAATTTTAAACAACTTCAAAGAAAGATTTTTTGTAAATTAAAAAAATTCTTCTAAGAAGAGACCGTATAGTAAAAAAAACAAATGTCGCTGGTGAAAGCTTCCGCCATCAATTTAAAAGATCAATGGTTTTTGGAATTCAAGATAACACGGGACCTGTAGTCGCCCGTCGAGAGAACGAGGTATTGTAACGCATTTACTGTGGGCACCCGGATTACCCAATGCATATTCCAAATCCTCAACTGTACCTTGGCCATTTTTTCGTTTTTTCAGTTTTTTTACCAATGAATCAATAGCCTACAGAGAGGAGGTATTCAAAAAATTAATTAAACAAGAAATCAAGAGAAGGAAAGACTAGTAATAACGATAAACCCCCTTCTCTACTTTCAAACAACAAACAGGAATGGCTGATACATTACTTATTTAGCTAAACCATTTTCAGTCGCCAAAAGTCTATTCAAAAAAAAAAAAAAAAAAA